TTTACACAAATGTCACCTTCTCTGAAAGGCCTCACCTACACACGGGTACTTGTATCACTGTTTAATATATTTTGTGTATTTACTCAATGTGAGAGTGAGTGGTTTTGTCTGCTGTGTTCCCAGAGCGAGGACAGTGCCTTTCACTTAGTAGATGCTCAGTATTTGTTGCGTGAACAAATCTATCACCCTTGTTTTTTACGTAAGGATCCTGAGCTTCTCCATCAGTAGCCAGTCTGCTGCCAGCCACACAGCTTGGCTGGCTTCACATTCCCCCATATCACATTGCCCTTCCATGTTAAGGGTACTGCTTGGAATTTATGTAGAATTAAAAGTATAGTGAAGAATGCCTTTATTTCCCCATGTTTGAGGAGAAAGAAACATATCAATTTATCTTTGAATGATTTTAAGGTCGAATTATTTAATTTCCTGGTATTACTTGTTTGGACAGGTGATTCATCCCAAAACTGATGAACAGAGATGCAGACTTCAGGAAGCTTGCAAAGATATTCTCCTTTTTAAAAATCTTGATCAGGTAACGTTAATTTTTTTTAATTTGTTTTAATTGTCTTTTAGCTTTTTAACCACAAATAGGCATAACATTTTAGATACATATTACATAAATCCTGTCATCATGTTCACCACCATAACCAAGACACAAGCTTTTCAGGTGACTTTTAGTATTTGGGGGAAGCTATTTTGGGGAGGCAATTTTTGTGCTTTCTTTGAGATAAGTGAAAATGTCATGCAATTTGGTCTTTGCAAGAAAACGCACAGTATGTCTGATTCTGGCTTAGTTTGGAATGTCTAGATTTATGTTGCAAAGAGGTTGGTTTCTCTAAGGATGTCAGTGTGGAATTGTCTTCACTTATAGTAATTTATCCATCAGAAATGTGGCTTCTTAGGGAAAACATGAGGGGTGGAATATCTCTTGAGAGAGTGTGTGTGTGTAGAGCCCTGGCTTAGGATTTACCAATAGGATCCAGAGAGCAAAGCCCAACCAGAATGTTATTTTCTGAGGGAATCTGTTGGGCTGGTTAAATTCACAGCAGCGAGACATCAGTTCAGATGGCTATGGCACTTATGGTCATGGACTCGAAAGGGCCAGTCCAGGTCGATTTTCTCAGAAGGCACGGGTCATTATAGGGATCTATTAGGAACAAGTTTTAAGAAATTAAAAACACATTGTTGAAACAAAGGCCAATAAGCTGTGCTAAGGAGTTTGTTTTCCAGTGCACCTGCTTATTCCCCTAGGAAAGCAAAGGGCTATCCTTCAAGCCTTTCTTTAGGAAACCTTACCACATCCCTTAATTCCCTGATCTTACCCCTCTGACTTCTTTTTATCCCCCAAACTCAAAGAGCATTTAAGAGGAATACAATTTGACTCTCTTCTTGGATCCCAAGACTTCTGTTTTGATACGGTGTTAATCAAAGAAGAGAATTCTTTGGGAGAAGGGTTAGTTAGAAAGATAGAAACAGCCTTCAGAAGTGTATGGAACCCTTGGCTCCCCCCCCAAAAAAAAAGAAGTGTATAAACCTAGGTGGAGGATATGTTGAGGAACAATAACTACACATTTTGGTATAAATTTTTCTTTTTTAAAAAGTTTTTGTTTTTTTTATATCAGTCCTTTTTGACTTGTCCATGTATATTTAAATTTCATAAGAATGTGCCAAAAATTTCAAGGTGATTACCTTTTTATCCTGCAAATTATACACCCATGTAAATAAAACACCTACATAATATAATTCAAAGAATAGCATCGACTGAAAGTAGCACAGGAAGCTGGAGCAATGTGCTTTGTAAAAAGCATAGCGTGTATGTGTTATTTGGATAGGATATGGCATTTTACTTTCTTGAGATTTACATTATTCCATGTCCTTAACAACATTTGTTGTTGGTCTTTTTTAATTTTAGCCTTTTAGGTGAGTATGTTTATTTCAGTTTTTAAAAGCCAATTCTTAAATTTCTGCACTCAGAATTTCCAATTTATAGAAAAGTCAAAATAGTAGTACCATGGATACCAACTATATTTTACCTAGACTAGCTGGTTATTAACATTTTGCCACATTTTTTTCTTATTTTTTTTGTGAGTACTTGTGTAGAACAACAGAGCAGAACATAGAAACTATTGTTATTCTGAGACATAAATGTGGAGCCATGTCATCTCTTCATCAATAAACATTTTAAAATGTTTTCCAAGAACAAGGATATTTTCTTACATTAGGATAATATCATTATAAAACCCAAGAAATTTGACATTGGTATGTAACATCAGCTATAATCATATTTCTGTTAACGTTCCCAATAAAGTTTCCTATAGCTTTTGATTTGGTCTTCCAATCCTGGATCACATCTTGCATTTGGTTGTCATGATATCATTTTAAAACCAAACCAAGCCAGTTACTATCATATTGAATTTGACTCCTATTGACCTTACAGGACAGAGAGAACCACCTCAGAGAGTTTGCAAGACTGCATTCTTTAGGGAAGCAGGTGGCCACATCTTTCTTCCACGTGAGACTGCAGGTGGTTTTGAATAGCTGACTTTCTGGTTTACGATGGAGCACTTAGTCATTGTGCTGCTCATACTCCTAGAGTAACCACAGCCAGTATTATCTCAAATGTAAACACCATCTTTGCTTCTCATGTGCACCCTGCAGGAACAGCTTTCTCAAGTCCTCGACGCCATGTTTGAAAGGATAGTGAAAGTTGATGAGCATGTCATTGACCAAGGCGATGATGGAGACAACTTTTATGTTATAGAGAGGTAAGAGTATAAATGTTTCTTTTTGTTTTGCTTTTAATACTTTTTTAAAAATCATTTTATTAGGGGCTCTTACAACTCTTATCACAATCCATACATACATCAATTGTTTAAAGCACATTTGTGCATTCATTGCCCTCATCAGTCTCCAAACATTTCCACTTCACTTAAGCCCCTGGCATTAGGTCCTCATTTTTCCCCTCCTTCCCTGCTCCCCCCTCCCTCATGAGCCCTTGATAGTTTATAAATTATTATTTTGTCATATCTTGCCCTGTCCGACATCTCCCTTCACCCACTTTTCTGTTGTCCGTCCCCCAGGGAGGAGGTCACATATAGTTTCTTATAATCGGTTCCCTCTTTCCAACCCACTCTCCCTCTACCCTCCCAGTATCGCCACTCACACCACTGGTCCTGAAGGAATCTGCCCTGGATTCCCTGTATTTCCAGTTCCTATCTGTACCAGTGTACATCCTTTGGTCTAGCCAGACTTGCAAGGTAGAATTCGTATCCTGATAGTGGGGGTGGGGAAGAAGCATTTAGGAACTAGAGGAAAGTTGTATTTTTCATCATTGCTACATCGCTTCCTGACTGGCTCGTCTCCTCTGCAAGGGGATCTCCATTGGCCTACTAATGGGCTTTGGGTCTCCACGCCACACTCCCCCCATCATTCACTATGGTAAGATTTTTTGTTCTGATGATGCCTTATACCTGATCCCTTCGACACGTTGTGATCGCATAGGCTGGTGTGCTTCGAGTATAAACTTTTCAATGGCAAGATTATATTCAATTGGATTCAGAATTTAGGGCACACACTTTATACATACTGTGTTCAACCCATAGAGGATTTAGATTAAGCTACCCAAAGCCTCCTGAGGGAAGCTTGCTGGCTCCTCCCTGCTGCTGTCTAGACCCCTCAGTAAAGCCTGTGCTTGGGGATCCACTGTTTATAGTCAGGCGAGATATACAAGATATGCTTATAAACATGTTGTTTGCCAGTTTGCAAGTGAATTTATTTTCTGAAAAAATTTTATGATGTTATCATATGGATCTTTCAGTTCCAAACTACTTTAATATATGAATATACCCTGACTTCATGTTCCTAGCCCCTGGTAACTTGGTCCCATGTATAAGCTATGTTGGGAGGTATGAAATATGTGGGTTTACTCTGCTTTCCTTGCTTTATATAGCCTAGTCTCTTGACCCCTTCCCAGTACTGGGGAAACATCCTCTGTTGAGCTTAAGATCAATAAATTAATGTCATATATCGATGCAAAAGAGGGGCGATGTTGTGGAGACCCAAACCCATCTGTAGACAATTGAACATCCCTTCACAGAAAGGTCACAAGGAAGGGATGAGCCAGCCAGGGTCCAGTATAGCACCAACAAAACATACAACATTCCTCTAGTTCTTTAATGCTTCCTCCCGACACTATCATGACCCTATCTCTACCTTACAAATCCAGCTATACCAGAGCATGTACACTGGTACAGATGGAGATATCTCAACCACGAATCCAGGTCAGCTAAACTCCTCATGCACAGGTATGGGAGTAGCGATACCATGAGGGTAGGGGGAACGTGTGGGGAGAAAGGGGAAAACGACTGAAATGATCGATGTATATATAGCACCCCCCTATCCCCAGGGTGACGAACAACAGAAACATGGGTGAGGGAGACAGCAGATGGTATAAGATATGAAAATAATAATTTATGATTTATCAAGGTTCATGAGGGTGGGGGAGGGAGGAAATAATGAGGAACTGATACCAAGGGCTCAAGTAGAAACAATGGTGTTTTGTTTTGTTTTTTGAAAGAATATGTTTTGAAAAGAATGATGGCTTGACACAATGCTTGACACAATGGATGTATGGATTGTTATAAGGGCTGTAAGATCTCCCAAGAAATGATTTCTTAAAAAAAAAAATCAATACATTGTTTTCACCCAATGTTGTTTTTATGGTTAGATGCTGTTGTGTAGGTTCTGACTCATAGAGGCCCTGTGTACAACAGAACAAAACACTGCATTAAATTTCTTCAATTTTTTTCCAGAAAAATTGTATAATAGCAAATTTTTCATATAACTTAGAATTTCCATGTGTTAAATTTTACAGTTCCTTTATCAAATCATTTTGAGGGTAAGTTGCAAATATATGAGGGGTTAACCCCCCAAAACCGGAATTCCTCCCCCTCCTCAAAAGCTATATATTTAATTTTTTCACAAAACAACCTTATCACCTTCAAAGTACTCTCTATTACACTTAATACATTTATCAAATGTGCAATTCCATTCTTGGAAACATTTTTCACACTCATCTGTTTGGATGACTGACAGCACCTTCCTCATTTTATTCTTCACCTCTTCTATGCTGTCCTTTCATGTCCCTCTTCATTCGTGGAAACAAAAAAAAGTTGCACAAAGCAAGGTCAGGTAAGTCGAGTGCATGGGGCAAGAGAGGTATGCTGTTTTTTGTCCGAAACTGGCACACTGAGATCGCTGTGTGAGCAGGTGCATTGTCATGGTGACAAAAGCTGTCCCCTGTCTGCCACAATCAGGCTTTTTTGTCACACACTGTTACACAATCTTTTCAGAATCTCTAAATAGAAAGCTTGATTGACAGTCTGACCTGGTGGAGCGAACTCCAAATGTACTACAAGTCAACATTTTCATCCATTGGGGAAGTTGATGAAAGTTCAAAAGGAGGTTTCTCATCAGTTGACATTTTCACCTTTTTTGAAATGAGAAAACCACTCATATACATAAGTTTTTCCTGTAGCGCTGTCCTTATGAGCTGTGTTCAACATTACAGCCAGTTTCTGCGGCATTTTTCCTGAGCAGGAAAGAAAATTTCACAGCCGCACCCTGTTCTCTTAAATTGGACATCACAATAAATGAGGTTTGAGGGATACTGCTTTCATGAAAAAATTCACTGTAACCAGAGAGAACCTTGCCAGGTGACGCCCCTGGGTGCACTAACTTAGAAGGTAGTTGCTTTATGTTCACCTAGCAGGGGGGAAAATGTTTACCTAGCTCCACTGTGCCCAGCGCAATTCCGGGGTTTTTTTGTTACTCCCTCTGAATGTTTCAGTGTGTTAATTCCTAAAAATAAGGACATTATCATACATAAGCACATAATAATTATAATAATCATAACATAACATTGGTTTTTATTACCTAATGTCCGTTATTCAAATTTTCCTAATTGTTTTCCTGGTTTTGAGGTTCTTTTTTTTTATATATATGTATCAGGGGCTCATACAACTCATCAGAATCCATACATACATCAGTTGTGTAAAGCACATTTGTACATTCGTTACCCTCATCCTCAAAACATTTGCACCCCACTTAAGCCCCTGGCATCAGCTCCTCATTTTCCCCTTGCCTCCCCTTGATGAACCCTTGATAATTTATAAATTATTATTTTGTCATATCTTACACTGTCCGACCTCTCCCTTCACCCACTTTTCTGTTGTATGACCCGCAGGGAGGAAGTTTTATGTAGATCCCTGTAATCGGTTCCCCCTTTCTACACCCTCCCTGGATCCTCTCGGTATCGCCACTCTCACCTCTGGTCCTGAAGGGATCATCCGCCCTGGATTCCCTGTGTTTCCAGTCCCTATCTGTACCAGTGTACATCCTCTGGTCTAGCCAGATTTGTAAGGTAGAATTGAGATCATGATAGTGGGGTAGGAGGAAGCATTTAGGAACTAGAGGAAAGTTGTACGTTTCATCGTTGCTACACTGCACCCTGAGTGGCTCATCTCCTCCCCGGAGGTTCATTCTTTTCATTGCCAGTGAGTTGCCATTCCAGATTCAGTTGGCCCTCCTTTTTTTTTCTTCTTCTTCAGTTTTATTGACATGTAATTCAGATACCATACATTTCAATGTTTCAAACATACTAAAAAGAGTTGTACTGTCATTAAAATTGTGCTAATATCTCAGAATAACAACAACAAAAGTTTCTATGTCCTGTTGCTCTAAAATAAATTTTAGAATTTTGTCTTGATTCTTATACTCATTATTACTAGCTCCCCGCCTTCCCCAACCTCTCTTGCCAATTGATCCCTTTTCTTTTTTTGCAATTGATCCCTTTTCTTGTCAAGCCTTTGCTTGTTTAAATTCTTGAGCAGGAAACATTGTCATTCTATTGATACCTGTGACTAATTAAAATTAAAAGTAATATTTTATTTAAAAAGTAAAGATAATACAAATAATATCTTCCAAAATAGGACAGTTTTTAACCTGTTATAATAACATTTCCTACATATAAATGCTATAAGTAATGAGAGAATAATTTTATAAAGTTATCTTGAAGCCTCCTTCCTCAGAGTGTGAACCCTCCATCACTTCCATGACTGGATTTCCTCCAGGTATCTGCAGTCTGGGAAATGTGCATCCATGTATGCACGTCTGCAGCATACGGGCTGAAATTACTATCTGCTATCTACTGTCTCCTTGTGCAACCAGTGGGGGTTATACTTCATATGCAGTAAAAGTGATGATTAACAAATAGGAAAACATTGAAAACCCACTGCCATTGAATTGATTCCAACTCATAGCAACCCTAATGGGGTTTCCAAGACTGTAAATCTTTAAGGGAGCAGCTAACCTCATCTTTCTCCCACAGAGCAACTGGTGGGTTTGAACAGCTTACCTTGTGGTTAGCAGCCTGTGATAGTTACATAATCGTTTGTCAATTTAAGAGGATTAAGAGTGAAGGGGTGGAGTCTAGCCTGTCGATCGGGTCATAGCCAAGAGGTCTCTTTGTGGTCATGGCCTTATGAGGATTCTAGGAATTCCTGTATTATTCCTTGGAGATGGGAGACACTCTCTCTAGGCTCACTCCCTGGGAGACATTGCAGCTAACAAGATACATGGAATTATGCTAGTGCCCTGAACTGGAGGAGCCACATGGAGAGTCCTGCCAGCACTGAGATGCTTACAGTACCACTGGATCCACAACACTTCCCACCCACTGACTGTATCCGGCGTCATCGCATGTGTT